ATAGCGCTCACCACCCCACAAGGCAGAAAGGTTCTGGCCCATCCAGGGCTGCTGCTTTGGGCCAAATGGCCCAGGAAGGTCAGGATGGGTCTGGACGCACACACTGTGCCGGATCCAACCCCCAGCAAGCCAGCACCTTCCTTCCCCAGAGCAATCCCTTGTTTGCCCTCTTCAAACTGACTGAACGCTCCTGCAGCTTGCAGAAGCGTGTGGCAAACAGTCCCTCTGGGTACCTGGTCTGCCAATCCCGCACCACTGGCGAGGCAGCAAAACCTAGGGGCAACACTAGATGTAGAAGGGATTATTCACAGGGAACAGCTACGATCCTACAGACAGGCTGCTTGGTGCCCTCGTAATGGTTATGAGACCCTTGAAGGGCAGGAACCTCTTGGACACCTTGATTTTTATAAAGATGGAGAGATACCTCTAATCCAGCCGTGGTCTGCGCTACTAGGCTATAAACTATGTCTCCCTTCCACACCTGTGCACACAGACACGCAGATATACTGGTGTGATGATCAGGTAAATGCACCGATGAGGCTTGGAGGCCTCCTAAGACCACAGGCTCACAGCATCTGAGGGTCCTGCTGGGTCTGAACCTCCCTTTGGCATCAGACCCATTTCTTTCAGGTTGCGACTCTCTTGGTCCCAAGATTAATTTCTGCTCGTTAGACATTGCTTTCACAACTTGTTGTACAATGGTCATTAACGGCCGTACAAAAAATGACCGATGGGTTCCTTTGAATGTTTCCAACAGCTGTGTATATAGAGAAAGCAAACAAAAACCTGCAGGCCACACAATGATTTTGATGCTTTCTTTACACTTATGGTCTCCTTCTTCCATCCAATACATCATTCTTGCTTCACCTAACTTGCTGCGTAGTTTACAGGGCAGAAAAATGAGGAGATACGTTTAGGATCAGAAAAAATACAAATCTCTGCAAGTTGACATAAATTGGATATCTCCAAATTCTTCCTACCCCAGCACGCATCACTGACTCAACGGGAACATAAGGCTAACTGCCAAAGCTGCGTCCTCCCTAGTGACTGCTGTGGCACCGCAGCGCCAGGTGGAAAGCCTGCGTGACCCTGAAAGAGGTAGAGTGAAAGAACCTGGTATGTAACTAAGCTGAGAACTCACTCTCCACTGACAGGAAAGATTTTCGCTCCAAGGTAAACTGCTGCTTGCCTCCATAACCCTCGAGCTGTCTGATGTGGGCGAGGCAGATGTGTGACTGTGGCCAGCTGCCCAGCTTGTCCTGCAGCATCCCCAGCATAACTCCATACATGGCACTGGAGGGTTTGAGAAACTCCAGCTAGCTTTAATCGCTTCTTTTTACAATTTAATTCTAGTGAAGCTCAGTTTTTGCACCCACATGCCCACTTTGCTTTGAAATGTGGCGATCTGAAGTAAAAACAGTCAGTGGATGATGAGAAAAGTCTGCCTGGATTTCCACGCAAAAGCATTTGCTGTTTGTGCTAAGTCCTACCTAGCATTTTCCTGCTTCTCCTGCCTCTGCACTGCTTGCGACTCTGGCTATATATTCAGATCCTGTCATAATCCGACGCTC